GTTTCTTGGGGGAAGTTCTGACCCACATGAGGCGCAGTCAAAACTAAAGACCGAATGGTCCAAACCCAAAGCTCATGCGGGCAAGCTTGAACCATCCTTCGTCTTTGGGGAGTACGTTTTCCGGGTAAGTCTTCGGGCAAGATCTTTTGAGGGAATGGAGAAAAGGTGGCGACCTCTTGTAGGAAAAGCGCAAGCTTTCACTGTCCGAAAGGTGTCCTTTCTCATGTCAGTCATGAATATTCTATTTGAAGCTCTACAAATGGAGTTGGGGGGTGACCGGGTGACTGGGCGACCCCTGCAATGGTTCTAAGGCGCCCAACTTTCACGACGTAGACCGGCGAAGCGCTCAGCGGGAGCAGATAGGTGACTGGTACTTGTTTTGTTTTGAGGAGACCCTTTCCACGGAGCCGTTGTTTGTTTTACTAGCCCCGGCTCGGGCGCTTGGTTGGTTGGTTGGTTGGTTGGTTGGTTGGTTGGTTGGTTGCTTGCTTGCTTGCTTGCTTGCTTGCTTGCTTGCTTGCTTGCTTGCTTGGTTGCTTGGTTGCTTGGTTGCTTGGTTGCTTGGTTGCTTGGTTGCTTGGTTGCTTGGTTGCTTGGTTGCTTGCTTGGTTGCTTGCTTGCTTGCTTGGTTGCTTGGTTGCTTGGTTGATTGGTTGCTTGGTTGCTTGGTTGCTTGGTTGCTTGGTTGCTTGGTTGCTTGCTTGGTTGCTTGGTTGCTTGCTTGCTTGCTTGTTTGCTTGCTTGCTTGCTTGCTTGCTTGCTTGCTTGCTTGGTTGCTTGGTTGCTTGGTTGCTTGGTTGGTTGGTTGGTGGGCTGGGCGCATCCCCAGCATCCCCGGTTACTTGGCGTCAGGACTGCATATTGCCCGTGATTTGATGGCAGTTGAGAGCTGCTCGGGTTTACGGGGCTGGTTTGGGATGGGTGTTGGGCTTGTTAAGGTCTTAATGAGGACGATTCTTGGGTTTGTGTGGGGTTCATTTAGGCTCGGCAAAGGGACCGCCCAAAGACCTCCATTGGCCATAGTAAGTAGTTCTCTATCTGGCTTCATACTGTATGGTTTGTATGAAGGCCTACCAACAGTCAATGGGTTTTGACTGCTTTCGTGGCCAGCCAGGGAGGTGTGTGTGATTCGCTGAGGCGAGCGCTGCATGGTCGTACAGCCCGGCTCTCATGCATGTGGGTCTGTCTTTTCTGAGGGTATCCGTTGAAAGGGGGTTTGAAAGGGATTTGGGGAGGGGGGGGATCCTCTAAAATAGACACACCCATGCGAGGTTTTCTCAACATATTCTATTGATTCTCTTTGCGACCACAACTGAAATCTCGGGAATCGAGCTCACGAAAGGCTTTCTGTGATTCACACACCAAATAAAGCAGACCAATCTACCGGAAGGTAAGACGAGCATCTTCCAGGATTTGTTGGAAGCTTCGAGGCGCTCCACTTGGCCGCTGAGTACGGCCATGCAGAGGCCTGGCACTGAATCGAGGTGTATTGTTATCCTTGAGAAATGGAATGACCCCGGGATAAACTGTCCAACTGGCGGTGTCCTCTAAGTGGACCCCTTCCCTACTGAACACCAGCAAATTGTGGTGCCGTTTTGATTCAGCATTTGTTTGGCGTTGACTGATGGACCACGTATGCTGTCGCTTACTTTGCAGAATGCGAAACATTTTTGCACACGCAGGTCGCTGTATTTGGCGATGCAGGTATGCGAGCTGATATATTATGGATACATCGACACATAATATATATCTATGTATATATATACACATATAATCAGGTATTTGCAGTGTTTGGTATTGACTGAGTCTCGTATTTTCTCTCTGAACAGATACCATCCTCCTTACCAGGTGTGTTTCCAAGGAAAGCAGACTTCACTTACATATGAGGGGCTTGTTTGGGGATAATTGTTTAAACAAAAAAAAAACTGTCTAAAGGTTTCCAGCCAATAAGCTGAACCCCTGTAGATTCCATTTGCCTCGCCAAATAAAGGGACGTGTTCTTGCCTACTGGTTTATGAGACGGCATGCTGCCAACGAATTGGATCGTTTCTAGAACAGAGCGATGCCAACGCGTCAGAACCACGCGGGTCCGTATATGGATTGGAGTAAACATTTGTGATACCAGGTGTTGGTGGGGACTCAAGTTTACCGTGTTTGGCTCTGCATAAACTGAGAGCAGCACCTTGGTGAACACCATGGGCTCATCACCATTTTTGCATGATCCATGTGGCCGTTCTTGAAGCACCAACCTGGGTAGCACACTGGCGCATGTGAATGGATCCACATGATGGCGCCTGCCCTTTCAAAGTTTTGCCAGTGTCAATCTGCAACTGATCCCGTGTCCCAAAAGGCGTTGTTTGCAAGAAAGCAAGAAAGTAACAAATTAAAGCAATGCAATGCGAGCAAGGCAAGCAAGGCAAGCAAGCAAGCAGCACCCAGAAGAGGTCTTGAGGTTCATTTGTATTGCTATTAACAATGGGTATAGGCCTAGCCCATGAGCGGAGGTTGGGTAGGATGTAGGGGTGATCATGTCACTCATCTTCCAGCTGTGGCCACGGCAAAAAGGGCAGTGGGAATCTTGCGAGTCAGATTTGTTGCTTCCGCTCTTAAATGTCGAGAAAATACGTTATGCTCCTAACCAGCGACGTGCCGACTGGCCCAAACTACGACTCACAGGCCAAACAGTCTCCATGTTTATTGCACCTTGCCCTTTACCCTCCCACCCATCAACATGGAACCTGACGTTCGGGGGGTCCTGGAAGACCATGTTCCTTTTACAGGGACCCCCTGTCAGGTTCCATGCAAAAAGGGTGCGAGGGTAGCAGCTTTTTTGGAAAGGGGTTTCACAGGATCAAGGCCACAGCTCAGAGATGCCCGGGGGGAACGTCAATTTGACCTTCTCGCGCTGGAAATTCTGGCCTTTTCGAAATGCCTATTTGAGCCGTGCAGTTCGCATCGTGCCTTTGGGGACTTGAGAGCTTTAAAAACCTAAGAGGGAGCAGGTGTCTTGTACATGGTTTAAGTTTGGACGTTAGGGTGGTTTCATCCTTGAGACATTGCTTTTGTCAGCGAGCCTTGAGTGGGCACCAAACTATATCTATCATAGTCCAGTTTCCTAACCCTCCGGATTCTTAATTTGATTTCATTTCCTCGAGCAAGAACGCATTCCAGCTATGACTTAGATGATGTGTAATCGTTTTTGCTGTTGAAGTGCAGGGATAGTAAACCTGACTATGGATCAGCAGTTTGCCACGGGCTATTTGTGTGTTTGCTTCGATGGCGTGTGAGAAGGATTTGTATGAACCGTTAAAGCGGGAGCAAGCAAGCTGAAAGTGTTTGAAAAGGCATGGCGCGTCCGAACAAAGATACGGGCTCTTTGCGCTTTGTCCGCAAGAAAGGCCAGCCAAAATATCTTGCGAAGGGATACAACTAGCCCACCCATAGTCCCTGGGGAATTCTCTTTCCAGGTTGTGATTGTTAGACTTAAACCCCAACCCACAACCCCTCCGCGAAGAAGGATTCTAACCCCCAAAAGCCTCTAAGATGTCAGCTTACACAGGTCTAGTTGGTATGTTGGGTCCATATGGCTGTGGTCAAAACCCTGTACCCCTGGTGAACATCAAAATAGTTTTTTTTCCTGGGTGTTCATCCGCCCCAAAATGGGATCGGCATAGGTTATGACCCATTGACCCATGGCCATATCCGGGGGGGGGGGGGGGGAAAACAAAAACGACCCCACCGTTTGCCCAAGCCAACCCCTTGACCCAGGTGTGTCGAGCGCTCTTGGATCACAAGCGCTTCACGGTGGTTGATGTGAGCTCCCCGTTCAGAGCCGCGTGTTTTTTTGAGGTGAATCGGATTTGGGTTGGTGACCAAGAATAGGGGGAGGAGGTCTGTTTGATCTCAAAACTTGGTGAATCTCCTTGGCTTGGATGTCAAAATATGATCCCACAACTGGCTGAGTTGGAGATAAAGGCATCCCCGATAGCCACTTTAGCGGCTGGGCTTCCAATACAAGCTCCATGACTTCTGGGCAAACTGCAGCGAAGGGATTTTATGAACTCAGAAATGATGAAGGTCCCCTGATGTCACAGGAACCTTTTTTTTGAGTCGAATCACTATGCTTCACCCAGATCTTGGCCAGGACGCCATGACCCACTCCAAATGCATATGATTCTGTGGAACCTCAAGAAGGAATTTCCCCAAAAGGAGATTTCCTTGGAATGTTGCAAGAAAACAGACATGGAACTCCAAAGCTGCCGAGAAGCTTTTTTTTGACGAGGGTCCATATGTTGATTGTCAGGAGCTGATGTTGAAAAGCTTGCGCGCACCTTTCTGGGCTGAATGGCTACATGTATATCGCACGATGTTGAGGTTTATCTTTCACCCGAACCAGAAAAACTGGTTGCATCATCTTTCTTTGTGGGTTGGCGCCCAGGACAATATGATACATGAGGGGACTTGGTCACAGACTTCAAACTGTGTGTGTGTGTGTGAGGGCCGGCTGCTGTTTGGCAAGACATGAAGGACACTGGATGGCTCATTACCTGATGTGACAACAATATGTTCAGCTGAAGGCATATGCTACGTCGCTCTGCTCAAGTGTGGTAGGGAGGCGGTTCAGAGCACAAAAGTCGTAGTGACACCAACGCTATGTTCATAGCTTCCCAAAAAGGCCATGGAATGGCATAGAGACTCGCTGAATGGGACAGTCTTTTCGCGGCGCCTCAGGCTCCTTGAGGGAGACGATTCAAAATGTTCGTTAGATTTGAAGGCATGGCATGGGACTCAACACTGGCAGCAAGCTGCTTCGCAGGTCTCGCGGGGGTGATGGCACATCTAGCAGACGTCTTGACTTGCTACAGCGCTCGTCCTGAGTTGGCGGAGCTCTTTCACAGCCCCGGGGACATCCTCGATTTCCAGAAGGCGTCGGTCCTGATGGCGGAAAAGACGATTTGGGAGCTTGCTTTGGGACACATCTTGGCGCTGATCTTTATCCCATCTGGGTTTGCAGGTACTTTCTTGCTCTACCGAATCTTCAAGCCTCAGTATAGATGGCTTCGCTGGCCTTTTGTTCTATTGAACTTTGCCTTCTATGTGGCAGGTGCTCTGATGCACTGCTCTTTTACTTTCGTGGGGCTTCTTGTTAGCGCCCCCTCGCGGGGACATGCTGTACCAGCAGGCCTCTATGCAGACTTCAAGCCCTTCTTTGAGATCATTTGCCACCTCGTGGGTGAAACTGCTATGCTTCCAGGCGGGATGTGTGTGTGTGTGTGTCTGTGAGAGAGAAAATGCCCCGATTGTTTGTTGGGCTTGGTTGGGCAGGCCTGTATCAGGTCCCTATGTTTCTCTTTTTGATGTTTAACACGAGGGGGGTAGTCTCGAAAGGACCGCGGTGGTGTTAAACATGACATGTTTGGCCCATGATATTGGTGAGTGTTTTTTGGGGGTGATATGGGTTGATGATTTAGGGGGAAACATAGGGAGCCCTGTGTATGCAGGTAAAGGACAAGGCATGCAACCAGTTTTTTTGTAATCGGGTGGTGAGCTTGCAAGGCTGCATCTTCAGCTTCGTCCTCCTAGCAGCGGGCATGACCGAACTCCCACGCTGGACCGCGCTCCTCACAACAGGCCCACTGCAGTTGCTGGTGGCCGTTGTTGCTCCACTCATGCCGTTGAATATCCGAATCCCAGTTGCCGAGTGGCGCCGGTTGTTTTCATTCTTTTGGGAAGGTCCGGATGTCTTTTTTTCCGATGGAAATCCACTGGGCATCTGAGGAATGTACATGCTGGTCACAACCTATAACCTCTCCAGTGGCATATGGCACCTGACAATGGCCGCAAGCTACTGGCTCAGACTCCGCGCAAAGGAGTCCTAGATTTGCTCTCGACTTTTGAAGCGAAGGTGTCGCTTTAAGGCGGTGTAACTCCGGCCTGGACGCGAAGATCTGCTTCATGTACAGACTGTACAGGGATCTGCGTTTGCGCTTCTAAAAGCAAAGCACGTACTTTTATCCTGCTCTCCAGTTGTTGCTGAAGCAGGTTTGTAAAGATTTGCCGTTCGGGGCGTCGAGACGAATGCTCGATGTTCTGATTTGTTTCAACTTACAGGTGAGCCACAATCAAAACCCGGGTAGATGAAGGTTAGTAAGCGACAATCCAAGCCATAAATAGCAGATATCCACCTTCTCAATTCTTGAAGCATGGTTCTGGGATTACGACCATTTTAATACAAAGGGTGTTGATCTTCGAACAAGGCAAAGCTGGGTTGAGTTCCCCCGAGGTGACCTAGGAGTCGTAGAGCTAGGTAGGAAAAGACCCAGAGGTAAGAGGCAGTATCGTATGCATCGTATGTCCCTTATGGTTGCTACAAAGCTCTAGCCAACTCCATCGACCCACAAAAAAACCAAGCCCAAAGATCCTGAACCTTCCATCAAACGGGTGCTGCTGCTCCTTGGGGGGTAGAAATCAGTCTACGGCTGCCCGGCCTCGGCTCAAGGCACGCCAAGCCATGGCGTGCAGCTTTTGTCCGCCCGTGAAATTCGTGAGGATTTGGTCCATATGATATGAGGAGCGCTGTTTTTTTTTCTTCTCGAGACGCGGAACATCTGTTGGAAGGGAGCACGCTTTTTTGTTTGGTTCGAAGCGCGGGAGATCTGTGGGAAGTGAGCAAGAACTATAAGGTAAAAGTGAAATGTCCTGACGTTGCAATGGGCTGGGACACAGGGATGGGGATAGGGCCGGAAGACTGAAGTTTGGCAAGGGGGACAGTTCGCCCCTGTCCCCTGCAGAATATGGGTATGAGGTTCAATTTGGGATACCTGTTGTGGGGGGGTTAAAAAGGAAGCCAAAAGGACAACCACCTATTTGGTGGGACGTCCCCTAGAACATGACAGACCCATATTTCATGACTATGGAGTCTGCCTTTCTCATTCCAGGATACGGTCCTGCTGTTGCCAGCAGATTTTTCGAGTGGAGTGGGTACAAGTGGGGATGCAGGGTGGGGCATATATCATGGCCAGGCATGAGCGTAACGAGAGAAATCCAACGACAAAGGCCTGCGCGCTTTGATGCCTTCGCCAATGCTTGAATCATGGCTTCAAAGTATGTGGACTCGAAGGCCCTTTGACATACCATGTGCCTGTGGTTGTCAACACCAATGGGATCCCATTTTGGGGTGGGTGAATTCACCACCCATTTTAGAACCTATTTTAGTGGGATTGGGATGTTCATTGGGGGTACGATTTGGGTTTTGACCATGGCCATGTCTGACTGCTCTGAGACTCTCTCACCAGCCGCATTTGCAAGCTTACACGTAGTATAGTCGAGTGTACTCCGCTCCCGGCAAGAGGCTCAGCAATAGGACATTTGTCCCAGACATTATGATTCCCAGAAAGATTCTGAGAATCTGTGTAAGAGCCAAGAGCTCAGTTGCCCAAAGAGAATCGACCGAATCTGAGCTTTTGGTTCTCCCTTGTTGATACATAGCGCCTTTTTGGTCCATCATGTCCATCTTTGGTGTGTTTAAAACGTGATCACCTTTTTCTGGGTCCCGGGGCAAGTCTAATCTGCTGGAAAGCCACTGCTTCCTTTATTTGAGAGCAAATAGCATCCAAGACGAAGATCAACGAGAAGCAGACGCAAGCACCGCAAGTTGCGTCAAAAGTGGAAAGCGCCTGCAGACTTGCTGTTTGCTTGCTCGAGAAGCAGCACTTGCGTGAGCTGGAACAGGCATGTGACGTGTGCAACATTGCGACCTGCTAGACCCGGTGGTTCCAGCCCTCCCAGGGCCTTGCGACGGCGAACTGACACCTTCTGACATGTTCAGAAGGGCCTTTTGCCAATCACGTTAGTCCACGTGAGTGTAGCGCCATTTGTTCCAGGAATGGGTACTCAAAAATGCGCCTACCCATTGGGAAGTTGCCAGAACAGGAACCCACTTACCACTGGGGTTTCCCCTGTGAGGTTTCCCAAAGGCGGCACATACTTTTTCTTGGGTTCATCCCAGGCGACGCCGTAGTTTTGTCGCCAGGACAGGGACGTGGTCGCGATGGCCGCAGCCTTTGCTGGAGGTTTGTTGATTTATTTGGAGGGACATGGGGGGGCTTCACAAGAACCCCTACGTCCTAAAGAGGGAGCATACTATCATACTCAAGTGAACTATCTGTAAGTCATATTGTCCTCAACTCACCAATGAGGACCGCCTAAACACACACACACAGGCACAGACGCAGACGCAGACGCAGACGCAGACGCAGACACACCGAAACAGACACGCACAGACACATACACACTGACACACACACACACACACCGAAAGAGACACGCACAGACACATACACACAGACACACACACACACACACACACACACACACACAGGTACACACACACACAGACACACACACACACACAGACACACACAGAGAGACACACAGACACAGACACACACACACACACAGACACACACACACACAGACGCACAGACACAGAGACCACACTCCCACACACCCACCCACCCTCCCCCACACCCCCACACACCCGCACCCGCACCCGCATCCGTACGCACGCACACAGAATCACAAACGCACAAACGCAAGCGCAAACACCGACGCAGACACAGACACAGAGACAGACCAAAAAAAAGTCAAACACGCAAACACGCGAAACACATTCCCTGTTGAGGGTACCCTTCGGCATGGCAGTAGCAAAACGAGTAGCTTCTGATCCTAGCCGGGTGGTTTGAAAGGGAAACCAGAAGAACCCCACTTTGAGCTTCCCCCCCGCCCCCGTTTTGAGTGTTTTGCGTGTTTGTTTTGGGAAACCAGAGGAACACCGTTTTGGGTGTTTTGAGTGAACCTCCCACTGAGGGAAGCTCATTGGTTCCCCTCGCGGAAAATACATGGATACATGTCCTCGCGACAGGAGCTACTGCCATGTCAGCGGAGGGTACCCTCAATGTGTGTGTGTGTGTGCGCGTGTCTGTGTTTTCGGGTGCATGTGTGTTTGTGTTTGTGATTGGGTTTGTGTTGGTACTCGTGTGGTTGTCTGCTTGTGTGCTTGTGTGTTTGTGTGCTTGTGTGTTTTTGTGTGAGTGCGTGTTTGCATGTGTGTGCGTGGGTGTCTGTTTGTTTTTGTGTGTGTGTGTGTGTGCGTTTGTGTGTGTGTGTATGTTTGTGTTTGTGTTTGAGTGCGTGTGTTTGTGTGTTTGTGTGTTTGTGTGTTGGTGTCTGTTTGTGTGTTTGTGTGTTTGTGAGTTTGTGAGTTTGTGTGTTTGTGTGTTTGTGTGTTTGTGTGTTTGTGTGTGTGTGCGTTTGTGTGTGTGTATGTTTGTGTTTGTGTTTGAGTGCGTGTGTTTGTGTGTTTGTGTGTTTGTGTGTTGGTGTGTGTTTGTGTGTTTGTGTGTTTGTGTGTTTGTGAGTTTGTGTGTTTGTGTGTTTGTGTGTTTGTGTGTTTGTGTGTGTGTGTGTTTGTATGGTAGTGTGCTTGTTTGGTTGTGTGGTTGTGTGTGTGCTTGTTGGTTTTTGCGCGGTTGGTGCGGTTTGTACTACCAAGAATGGTGTATGTAGTGGGTGCTTATGTCATGTATGCGTGTATATGCGTGGTGTTGAGTTCCCATTGAGTAGTGGGCCCTGGTGAGTTAGAATATCGCTGAAAAAGTCGTGTGTTCTGCTTTGCGTTGCGTTACTTGCTGTGAACATCGCCGAGCGAAAACTGAAGTTCTTCATGCTGCTTGCACTGACTGCCAAGAACTTGAGCTTGCCATTCTGCGCCGATGGCCTATGCCCAGGATTCCTGTTGTGGAAGTTTAGCCCTTGGCACCGAGGCTTGTCATCTTAGCCTTCCCCATCCATGCCACTACCTTCGTTGAGAGAAAGGACTGGACCCGTTCGCGCGTGTTTGGAGTTCCTGTGGTGGCAAATCCAAACCAGGCCAAACCAAAACAGGGCAAGCCAAGGTAAATCAAAGCAAACCAGCCAAAAACCCAGCCACAGACTGCCGTGAACAAATCAATCATCAAGCAACCGGCCAACAAGCGGCTGAGCAAGCAAGCAAGCAGAACAAGCAGAACAAGCGGAACAAGCGGAACAAGCAAACCAAACCAACCAATCCAACCAAACAAGCAAACAAACAAACCAACGAACAAGCAAGCAAGCAAACTAAGGAAGAAAGAAAGAAAGAAAGAAAGAAAGAAAGAGATAAAGAAAGATACAAAGGAGCAAAGAAGCAAAGAAGCAAAGAAGCGAAGAATCAAAGAGGGCAAGGAAGTAAAGAAGCAACAAAACAAAGGAACAAAGAAAGAAACCGCACACAAGCTCAGACAACTGGTGAGCCAACCAACCGGCCAGCCGGCAACCAACCAACAGCTATTCGCTACCTTTGCCGGCTAAACTGGCCAATTGGCGTTCAACCATGTACTTGCCGGCAACCAACCACGGGCATATATATATATATATATATATCAACGTCAACAGCAGAAGGGCAAGAGCAACATCTCCTTCAGCCAGCTAGCAGCGAACAGCCATCACCATCAGCGAACATAATTTTCAGAAAGCTTAGTGGTTTGTGTGAGCAGCAGCCTATATTTCAGGGTATTGGTTTTGGGTGGGCCCCCATCAGTTTTGCAGGTTGACGGGTGTTCGTTTTGGGTAGTCCCTTTTGGTGTTTGATTCTAAGATGCGGCATTCGCATAGCCAAGCTTATTTTACGAGCCCAGCATTCGCGCAGGTTACCAACCTCCCAGATGCTCGATTTCCCTTCTTGGACCTTCAAAAGCGGAACCAGCAAAGTGCAACTGTTGAAGGGGAAATCCAGCGACAAGATCCGGAAACCCAATTTTTGGAGGGCCCCTTCCTGTCACCGCTGTCAAGGTCGACATCC